TAGCTGATATGCTAAAATTTTGCCACCATTAGGTAAAGAGCTAACTTTAGTTGATTGAAAAAGATAAATCTCTCTAAAATAGATGTGAAATGTAAATCATGAAACATGATATATGAAGTCATAGAGCTAAAGTACATAAAGAGCGTATTATTTTTTATATTTGGACAGCTGAAATTACAACAAAATTGCAAAGGTTGTTACAGACCAAGGAACGCACAGAAAAGATTTAAAAGACCAAGTTGATCTTAATGGTGTGCTTTCACACTATGTGTGGTGTAGCAGGACACAAGTTTAGCACCTCTGCGATTTAGATGTATGACAAATGATCTGGGGGCAGTTAACCTGTTGTATGTAAAGGAAATTGTTTCAGCTGCTCATTGAAGTTGATTTATAAACTTTTAAACTGTTTAACAAACCAGTAGTAAAAGTCCCTGGATCATGCTTGGCCCATTCATTTTAGACCCTGTACTCAACCTTGGTATTTACCTCTAAAGGCGAGTTTATTACAGAGTATTGGTGGAGTAACTGTATACCATTACTGCCTCTTGGCTATAATGACTCGGAATGAAGGGTTTGCAGCAAAGCTGAAATGTAGAGCTGCAGCCTGAGCAGTTGTTGATATGGGACCCTGAGGCAAAGCGGGACTGAGATGGGATTTTGGGTTAAAAAAGAGCCATATGAGTATGTTTCTATGCTGCATAAACTTAAAAAAATTAACACAAGACAGACTCAAACAGTCTAGCTTAGTGCTTGTTGGTACTTGTTTGGCAGAGAAGAGGGAAACTTTAGCTGGGGCTCAATCAGCAACCAGGGACAATGAAGGTCATTTACACACCCTGAGCTCCGCCTTGGATAAAGAGAAGGGAGACTATTTGAAAAGACTTTGTGCTTTCTTTTCTCTTTGCAACGCCTGTGTTAGAGTTTGAGAAACTTGAGAAAATCCTCCACAATACCTTTAAGTTCTAAAATTAAAACATGGGAAAAAAAAGGGAAAGGCAGACAGCACCACCCCGACAATGAAATGTAAGGACAGTGACATTGTTTTCTGTGTAAATGAGTGGTAGATTTAAGAAGAAGGCAGTGTTAGAGTTTAAAGTTCTTTACACTGTCAAATTAAATCTTGAAAATAAGTTTTGTAATTTCTCTAGATGATGGACACAATGTTTCCTGTACCATGTCATCGTAACATAAACACCTAGAAAAAGTATTCATACTCTTTTAACATTCACAAACTATCATGATACACCTACAAAGACTTTTGTATGTTATATTTTTAATATAATATAATAAAAGGTAGTTAATAGGTGTCAGGTTTACAGAATAAAGAAAGAAAATCTAAAATGCATATTTGTTTCAGCCCCTGGGTGGATACTTTTTTAGAAGCACCTGAAGCTGGAATTACCAACATGGAGCTTTTGGAGTAAATATCTACAAGCATTAAATATCAAGAGACCAGTTGTAACTTAAGTTTTAAAGTACCTCAGATAATTTGGATTAATGTATATGCTAAAATAAAACCACACACAGATAATCTCTAATCACTAATTATGCATTTGTTGAGGGCAATTGGATAATATTTTATTTATGAGTATCTGATTAAGGAGGAATGAATACAAATCAAATCAAATTTATTTGTATAGCCCTTTTCAATAGCCAAATGGTACCCAAAGTGCTTTACAACAAAGCCATAAAAACAATACATAACATATATAATACATACAAGATACAATTAAAAGTGCTGTAGTGGTGCAGTGCTGAAATATGCACCAAATTTCAGCTTTGTGTGTAAAAACATTTTTCGTTCGCTTATAAATAATGCACTATGCTTTATACTGATAAATTCCCATTCAAATACATGGAAGTTTATTGCTGCAATTACAAAAAAGTAGAATAAAAAAATAGTAAAAACAAAAAAAACAAAATGGGGGCATAACGGAAGAACTGAAGTTGCTGGTCGGTTGTATGTAACATACTATGATTTTCCAGAAAAAATATTTTTTGACATCCTTGGGCATCGATTCGAAAATGCATTATGTTTCTGCTAAATCTCTAAATCTTTTATAATTTTCACTCTATATCAGCCTTTCCTTGTTTCTGCTTCACTGCTATCATATTTTCATAAGCTCTTCACCCCAAACACATCCACACATAAACACAAACAAACCCACGCACCACCAGTTTCCTACTTTTATAAGCCTAAAACAGAAAAGTTGATTCCTTTTTTTTTCTCTTTGCACATCATTAGCATTTTCTCATCACTTTTCATTTCAGAGTAACATCTTGTTTCTTCCCCAGTTTTTCTTCTTATCAATACAGCAAATCGAATAGCTGTAGTAGTCTGTGATTTAAGAGATATTACAAATGAAAGCCCTGCAAGTACCAAAGTTGTTATCCAATGACATCATCAAGAAACTGAACTGATTCCCAGAAATTGTCCTGCTGATGAGTGCAGTAACTCCCAGCTCATGTTATTCTTCTCCCAATAGCCCCCCCTTTGCTTTTCAGCTCGTTTTTGTTGTGCATGTCGTCCAACAAGCTCTGCTTTGTTAGTTGTCTGGGCAACTGCAAATCCCCTGGCAAAAATTATGACCTTTTTTTTTTTTCCTGCATTATTTCCCCTTCTACCCTCTCCGTGTTGCATGTCTCCTATTCTTGATTATGTCTTACTACTGCTTTTACTGGGATCCTTTTTTTTGTATTTTCACCTCACTTTTTCACAAAACTCTCACGGTTTCTCTGTCGAGTTTTGGGTCGTTACTAAAGGCGCCCTCCATCCCTCTCTCCCCTCCTGAACTCACTCTGAGTGAAAACCAGTGGAGCATAAAAAGCAGGTCTGATCCTGTGAGGAATTCACACAGTGAATTCACACAGCGAACGATGAACGGGGAGGGAATGAAAGAGCAAAAGTTGTTCTGCACTTATGAGGCCGCATTGACGAGAGACCACTTGATGCCAAGAAAAGAAAGAGTTACCTGAAGCATCAATGGT